TCAGTGGGTTAGGTCTTGCCTTTAGGGCCCCTTTCATGTTGTCCCAGTGTGGTTTCTCTTTAATGACATTGCTTTCATTAGCAGTCATAGCTACCTTCAAGCCCACTCTATCTGTAAGGCTAGGTCCTGCTCACACTCTCTTCCTGCACAAACTGCACATCTTAATCACTTTTCTGCTTCACTTTTTGCTCTGGCTCACATAGACCTGGATGATGGCAGTACTATGACATAGCCTAAATGCCATCCTGTGTCAACAAATTAGTTCACTACCTTTGAATTCAACATTGATGCCACCATTCTTTGCCAGAATGTAACATGAATGACTTCTAGGTGAGTTCCCAGTAGAGTGAGTCATTGTTCCCTTCCAAAGCCTCGTGAGCCAGACCCTCACAGGCCACATTTTCCTCCGCATTCTGGTCTTATGAGCTCCCACCAGAATGGTCCAGTAAGTTCTGTTTATAACATCCCAGGGTTTCTCTAGCCTGACGTTCCAGACTCTTCCAAGTTTCTCCAGCAAACCAGCTCCAGAGGCTCATGAACCCCAACAAAGATAACATGTTTAGGAACCAGTTTTCTATGTTAGTCACTTTCCTGCTGCAGTGGCCACAATACTTGATAAAAGTGGCCATTTAGCCCTCTGACTGTTTCATATGGTCAGACTAGAGGTCTGGGAGAGTGGGGTTGGAGTGGTGTTGTGAAGCAGTCAGCTGTGTTTGACGGTCTTATTTGAACATAGTCCTCTGTGGGGAGAAGTGTATAGACCTATTTGTTACAGTAACCATGACTGCACTTTATCCTCAGGTAATTTATACATGAATTTCTTGTATCATATTTAGTATTACAGCTGGCTATGAAATATAGTTTGATTGTAGAATAGTAAAAATTGCCATGGTAATAATGAAAAAAAATATCCTCCCTGTAATGTTCCTCAGGCCTCTATGCTTTCATTTAATACAGGTGTGGGTTTCCCAAGTAGTTTTTCTTATTTATGTAATAATTCTCATTATTTTCCTTTGTCAAACTAGAGTTCACACATCTAGTGACACTGAATGGTGACCCTGTGATGAGACTCACACATCTAGTGACACTGAATGGTGACCCTGTGATCAGATCACACATCTAGTGACACTGAATGGTGACCCTGTGATCAGACTCAGGCTTCACTTTCAGTGATGGGACATGGTGTTTCAGGTCAGGGCATTTGTCACCTGTTTGGATGTGGGGGTTTGAAACAGAAGGAGGTCAGGGTCCTAGGGAGGTGGGAGTAGCTATTAGGGCTGTTGTTATGTCTTTCCATCCAAACAACAGTGGCAGTGCAGAGTGCCAACTGTCAGCTCAAGTTTTTTGTTTTTGTTTTTTTTAAGACACAACCCCTCCCTGGCCAACAGCAGAAAGCTCTGCAGCTCTCCTGGAAGACTGAGGGGAGGAAAGGCTGGGCAGTGGGATCAGGGCTGGTGATTCAAGAGGAGGATGCTTGCAACTGTGGAATATCGCAGGTTAATTGCATTTTTTTTATTTAGTGTGGGCTGCAAAGACAGACTGATAGACGGCAGTTTTTGTTGAGCATCACATAGGCGCTGAGTTTCTTTGCATCTACTGGGAGGGGTGGCCCCAGAGCATGCTGAGGAAGAGAAGGGGTTGCAGAGTCAGAAGGTGCGGGCTTTGTGGGTGAGTGTGCTTCCATGTCTCTTCATGTAGGATTCTTTTGTTTTTCTCCAGGCTAGGGAATTGAACTTAAGGCCTCAAGATGCCAGGCCTACTAAGCTATATGGTCACAGTCCTTGATGTATAACTTGTAAGTGTGCATTTTTCACACTTAAGCTTGGGCTCCAATTTATCAAATATATAAAAGCAATTCTCGGGCCTGGAGAAAGGGCTCAGCGGTTAAGAGCAGCAAGTGTGCTTCTAGAAGATCAGAATTTGTACCTTGGAGGCTCACAGTTGCCAATAACTCCAGCTACAAGGGATCTGCTGTCCCCTTCTGGTCTCCACAGAGCCATACACACATTGGTGCATGCACACATATACATTGTTAAAAAGTAATCTTACCTTGTTGGTGTCAATGTTTTGGATTAAATAAGGCAATTTATATGCACACCTTTTGTAAATGACCCTCTGGATTCAAATGTAAGTTGTTATTAATAAAAATAACTTGCTCTTTTCGATGGGGAAACACATTGATGATTGCTTTATTTTAATTCATTCATCATATGTAAATGAGATTGTATTCTTGCAATCAGAGTCATTTAATGAAGGTCATGATTAGAAGCAGAGGGAGTAAGCCAATGAACTATTGTGTCATTGTTGTTTGTTTTGAGACAGAGTCTTCCTGGATGTCCTAGAACTCACTTTGTGCATAAACCAGGTTGGGGTCTTGAACTCAGAGATCTACCTGCCTCTTCCTCCCATGTGCTGGGATTAAAGGCATGCACTTCAGCATGCCTGGCAAGGAAACCATTTTTAAGTAAGAAATATTGCAGTGATTTCAGTAATAGACCCGTAATTGATACTGAAAATTAATGTTTTGTGTATATCTGAAGTGTTCTCTATTTTTGCTAATAAAAAGACAGCACATTTGAAGGGTACATTGAAGAAAACTGAGCTAGGAAAATTGAGAACAAGATGGTGTGATGTCTCATTCTGCATTCTGTAGAGGGCTATTTTTAGTATCTCTTTGAATCAGTGATGAATTCTCATTTCAAGATTCAACTATTAAAGGAGAGAAAAATATAAACCAGTTTAGACAAGGCTGCTTTCCACGTGGCCCAGATCTGTTTCAGGCTTTAACATGTGACAAGGGCCCTTTCTGGGAGCCACTGGTTTGCAGTCTTTGAAGGAGCAAGAGCAATGGGAAGAGAAAAAGCCAGAAGATCAGCCAAGGACACGCTGCTCCACTTTTACAAACTCTGGAATCGGGGGTTGCTTAATGAGGAAGCTGCATTGTATCTGCGAGGCTGGACAAAGGAGTCAATCAGGCGTCCCGTGGCCTCCCTGCCTTTCCTGTCCGCGGATCCTGTTGTTACCAGTTGGTGTCCACCCTCTGGACCCCATCCCAGCTGCTGCCCCCATCCTGGCCGATGCTTTCTTTCCCCAGTCTTTGGGCTCTCTCTGAGGACAGCTCAAGAAAACTGCATCCCGAAGCCAGCTGGTGCCGGTCCACGCTGTCCACGTTCAGTGGTGCCACTCACCAGCCTGGCCACGCTCTTCTCAGTGTCAATCTCTCCTCAAGTGGGAAGCCTTACTTCATCGTGAACAAATTATTCTTATTTTTATCTTCCGATGCTCATTCCAGAGAGGCTCATTAACTGTTTGGTGGCCTGGAAACAGCTGCTGCCCTGGCATGCATTCTCATGCTCAAACCCATGGGACTCTAAGTGGGGACTACAGATTTGGTTTGCGGTCCTTGAGCCCAAAGCACAGCCAGCTTACTCTTGCTCAAATAGGTCGGAATTTTTTTCTAAGCTTAGGCATTTGAGAAAACTCACTTGATTGTCAAATGAATGGGTATTGTGTGTGTGCTGAGGGAGGACAGGAGGCAGGGGAGACAAAGAGTGCAGTTAGGATGCAAAGTCTGAGAACTTTTGGGGTCATGTCTGCCCACCAAGGGAGATTAACATACAAAGAAACACTACCCTGGCCTGTGTAGACTGAAGCATCGTACAACTGGATGATCTATTTTCCTTCGAAAACCAAATGTATTTACTATGAGTATCTGACCATCTTCACCTTTTCTTGGCAGTGATTGGGTTATTTTGATACGTTAATGAAGAACTCAACAGATTTAAAACCAGAACTAAGCTGAACCTTTCCAGAAGAATGTTACAAGCTTTAGTTTGTGTGTGTTGGTTTTGTTCAGGCTAACATTGATTGGAAGTTGCTGTGAAGTCCTTTCTGGATGACACCAGGGGTTAGGATCCAGGTGTTGTGACCCAGTCCGGGAGTCTTCAGTCTGGTGGGATGGTTGCAGGACAGGCTGTGGCAGTGCTGTCGTGTGCCGAGCCCGGCTCTTCTTATCATTAAGTCACTTAATGAGTCTCCCAGTGTCTTCTTTGTAGCTTGGGAAGCAGGTTTGAAGGAATTGCCCTGAGTCTCACCGTGAGTGAGTGGAGGGAGGCCCATGTGAGATTCAGGCTGGCTCAAGCGCCCACTGTAGAGTGGCATCCTGTGCAGAGGGCACAGAGAAGGGTGATGGAAATCCCCAGGGTGTCTGATCAGTAAGTACTCTTCAACAGTGTCACTGCTGGTTGCTCACTGGTGAGAAAGGGATGGGAAATGCCAATGCCGGCCTGCTAGGGCTGGGGAGATGTGTGCTGCTGAGAAGTACCTGAAGGCCATCTTGGAAAAGCAATTGGCATCCTGCATGGCCTCGGATGCTATGCTCAAGAACTGGGCACCACTGTTTGGAGTGCTGCAGGGTCAAGGGACAGGGACCCTTTTTGTGCTGACAGCGTCAAGGAAGTAGATATTTTCTGAGGGTGTTGCAGCCCAGAAAGGTGTGTGCCTTCCCTACCTTGTGTGGTGGGCACGGCCTTAGGGCAGGCATCTCTTCTGTGGCCTGAGTTCGACTCAGGAAGGTGGTGGAGTTGTAGATTCCAGACACTGGTGTTGAGTTAGAACAGGAAGTACTGATTTGATGTTTCAAGGATGCAGGCTTCCCCTAAATACCAAGAAAGCCTTATTTCACACTGTGGTGCTTAGTGTCTGGGATTACAAATCATTAACTCCCTCTGGGCCTCGGCAGTGTTCAAGTGGAAGTGGACAGGAGTTAGAGGGGGGAGTCCTCGCTAAGTAGGAGGTGTGTCTCTCAGGCTCCTTAACACCTGACACTGCTCAAGTCAAGTGTGAGAGGCCCTGTCTCCCTGGAGACACGTGTGCACTGTGTGCAATGTGTCAGGAGCAGGCAGCCTATCGGCATGGTGTTCAGATGATGCCAACCTTCTATCTTTACATTCGCCTGATATCCTCCGCATCCGAAGGACGGATCCTCAATGTCACTGTTCTACCGGCAGATTTGAGAGCTTCTGGCTTGATGCAGCTGGAGCCGGTTTTCTCTCAGCACTCTGTACACATCCTCCAACACCCTTCCAGCCTGGGCTGCAGTGTCTTTCTAGCATGTAGTGGGAGGCTAGAGCCAAGGGGCAGAATTCAATGACGTGTAGTTTCAAGATGGCTTTTATTGGTGATTCTGTAATCAGACAACTACTTGTATAAAGACAGTAAGTGTTCGCAGTGCTGAGAAGAGGGGCGTGGATTCACTGGCAGAAAGGAGGAATGAAGAATGGATTGGTTACTCTAGAGTCACTGTGCATCTACGGTCAGAACAGAGGGATTTTACACGCCAGCCCAGGTAACCGGACCTCTTCTGATTGGCTGCTTAGTGTTTCTTTCTTCTGATTTGCTTTTTGTTGTTGTTGTTGTTGTTGTTCTTACATGCCAGCCCAGGTAACAAGACCTCTTCTGATTGGCTGCTTAGTGTTTCTTTCTTCTGATTTGCCTTTTGTTGTTGTTGTTGTTTTTATTTGTTTTTTTCCCCTTTTGAAAGTCGGTTTATTTCAGGTTCAGTTTGATGGTGTGGTGCCTCACAGGAATGTCAACATTCTTGTTAGGTCCGACCCACAGAGCCCTACTGCAGTTCAGTCCAGAACAACAGCCTACTGTGGTCTTCCTTTCATATTTTCGACCAGGCACTGTTAGCTGGTCAAACCCATGTTCTAGTCCTGAGTTCCTGTGAAGTCATGGCAGGAATTGATTTTCCTTCCATCATATCATATCAGGCTCACAGCCATCTTCACTTCCAGTTCCCACAGGATTCTATATCCTCCGTTAACCTCCAAGGGCACCATGCACAGTTGTGGTGTGCATACATACGTGCAGGCAAAACACTTATGCACATAAAGTAAAATGAACAAATCTACAAAGAATTTTCAGAAGCAAAAATACTAGCTGACAGTGTGATTTGCGCTACATTTAATAAATGCCACCTGGTCTTTTTATTTTAACTTACTCCACTATCTCTTCCATTACCTGCTTTATGTTTATCCTGTGTTCCTGCCAGTTCAGTAAAGACTTGTAAGGGCAAGGGCCGTCTCTTTTTACTCAATAGTGGCGCCACCATTGTTTCTTAACAGTTCAGTTATATGTTGTATTTGTATTTGAAAAGTTTCTACATCCCGGTAAGCCTCTCTGCCATTGCAGCAATCCAGATCAGACCAAATCGAACCGAATTAGAAAAAGTCTTCATTTGATGGATATAACACTCCTTGATGGTCTTCCAACCCCCAGAGAGGAGACAAGAGAGAGACTTGAAAGCCACATGTCTATTTTCTGGGGGATAGTTTAAATAATCTGTGGGAGTGGTCTTGAACATCTCTGGGAGAGAGGTCATCATGCAGCAGGGTTTGGAGGGAGGGAGGGGAGGGGGCCTTGGGTGGAACTTCCACCATAACATCCCAGACTCTTTGGGTATGTGGATGCCAGGGGCTGGGGTGAGGTATTGAGACATGGGGCCAGATAAACATGGTCCCACTGGTTCTTCTGTAGAAGGTGTAGGTGTGTAATGCAATGAAAACTAAACTCCAGAGACCAGAGAAAACACCAAAACTGCTGCTGGTGCCAGACGTACGCTCCATGACCCCACTCTCTCTCCCTCCCTTCCCCCTCCTTCCATTCCCCCTCTTTCTCTCCTTCTGTCCTTCCTTTCTCTTTCCTGTGCTGAACTATCTCCTCATTCCACTGAAATGTCATGTTTCACGTTTTATGAAGTGTGCATTTCTGACACTAGTAGTGGCCACATGTTTTATAGGCTTGAGCAGGGTGTTGCAGACAGAACTTCGTTTGTGAATGCTTGAGAATGCTGCTGGCCTGATCTAAACGGAAATGGGGCCTAGTTAAGGGAGTGGAACAAGGGAGGGGCTGCAGCGAGTAAACAGCTGCACCAGGAGGGACCACATGCGAGTGAGCTGTGTGTTATGTCAGCTTCTGACTTCTGTGAAACTAGGATTGGGAGGCTTAAGAGCCATGGCATGGACCAAAATAGTCAACAGGCTTTATGCGATCAGATTAGGGGGATCTGGGCAGATTAACAGTGAGCAGTTTAGATACAATCTGTTTTGACAGGAAGCATTTTCATATCACAGCATTCCTTATTTTATATTGACTTTAAATGCAAGTGAGATCAGCAGCTGATTTCAGGGAACACTTGACTGTCGCTGGCTTTGAATGATGCCCTTAGAAAAGACCTCCTGAGCTCAGTCCAGTCGTCTTTCGTGCTGGGGGCTGAGAAATGTGAACTGAAGGGAATTGTACTGCTGTTGACTCAAATGGTCTGAAATGCATTTGAAGTCACCTGGACTCATGTTCATTATCATAGAAGATGTCTGGTCCTCGCCCCTCTCTCCTCCCTTGCTTTTAGGAAAAGACTCAGAAGCATTAACAACAACAAAACTGGGTGGTTATTTATTCGAAGCTGTGACTCACTGTGGCTTCACTCTAAGTGATTTTTATTTGGTATCAACATTCTTACAATTACCTGGAGACAACAGGAATGCATTTTGATGCTGTCATGTTGAGGCCATTAATCAGAACCCAAATGGCCGAGGGTAGATGCATCTTTGATGGAATTTTGGAAGGGGAAGTGGCTCCCCAAAGACAACCCTTCATTCTTGATTTGTTTGTTCTTGGAGTCAGTGAATAGTTTTGAGTGTATGAATGCTATTCTTCACAGTATATCTTTCTTAGATACTGTAATAGGAGCTTCTATCCAACTGTCTGAGCCAGAACCCCTGGGGTGGCGCTGTTTGACAGAGTGGCCACTTGCTTCATTTCGCTGCTTATGTTAACATTAATTAAAATTAAATAAAACATTCCGTCTTTCCTTCACACTAGCACCCAGGCCAGTGTTGCAGGTAGCTGGAGGCTGTCCCATTGAACATTGTTCCCTCACACCACGGAGCTTAGGTGGACAGGCTCCCCGAGGGTATTCCTCGACTCCCCTATCTGGGAGATAGCTCAGCTTTCCCTTCCACTTCTGACCATGGCCTACACCTCTCACTTCATTCCCTGTAAACCTCTCCCTCGTCTTAGTATAAGGCTGTATCTCCAGCCATCTGAATTACAGCTCAAAGTCAGTCTCTAAATCTATAGCCCTTCCACAACCTCTCTGCAGATGGCAGACCCTGCCCTGTGCTGGTTTGCACCATTGTAACCTCTGTAAAATACTGGTTACCTGAAACGTCACTTGCTTCTTTTGGTTTACTGAGAGATACTTTGGAGTGCAGGATGGGGCTTTGGTCTTTGCAAAGTGGGGACTTACATGCTGTTTGACATGTAACTACAAATGTGTTGACTGAGAAGATGAGAAGGATAGATGAAAGTGAATGGCAGAGCCAGGGGTAGGTTTCATTCTGAAGGGCAGGGACGCTTTGGGTACCTGGAAGCCACAGCTGAGATGATTGCTCCAGACAGAGGAACGTGAAGGGCAGGAACTGGTGGGGAGCTTTTGTCCGCTCCTGGATGGTAGCCGCACCAGGCTGCTGGGTTTAACCTTAGGCACGGGAAGAGCTGGAGCCATGCTGCTCTCTGTAAACTTGTGCCCCCAAGCTGGTAAGATTTCAGCTCTTTAAAATTTCCTCTTTAGCCAGGCAGTGGTGGTACACACCTTTAATCTCAGCAGGTATGCAGAGACAGGAGGATCTCTGTGAGTCCAAGGCCAGCCTGGTCTACAGACCGAGTTCCAGGACAACTAGAGCTATTATACAGAGAAACCCTGTGTCTCAAAAAACAAACAAAAAAGAAATTGTTTTTAAATTTACTTATTTTATTTTATGTGTATGACTATTTTGCCTGCATGTATGTATGTGTATCACGTACATGCCTAGTTCCCATGAAGTCAGAAGAGAGCATCAGATTCTCTGGAGCTGGAGTTACAGGTGGTTGTGAGCTGCCATGTGGGTGCTGGTTCTCAAACCAGGTCCTCTAGAAGAGCAGCCGGTGTTCTTAACCTCTGAGCCATCTCTCCAACACCAGCATTTCACCTCTTGGTAGCTGTCTGTATTTCGCATATAATAGTGTTGACCACGAACACTCTCTAGTTAATTCTCAAAGACTTTTTAGTTCCTGACCTGTACTAGAGATGTTAGCATCTGTGCGAGGAAGAAAACTGCATGTGTTTTTCTGTGAATAGAAACCACGTGGTCTCGGTAGTAACTCATCTGGGCCCTTGCTTGTCCTGTGTGACCCTGGACAGGTCACCTTCTGATGTTCCCCTTCTTCACTGCAGTGGAGGTTCTACCTGCTTCCAAGACTAAGTTGGACCCATGTGATGTTGGTTTTAGAAATGTTCCTGACCCCAGCATGTACCAAATGTTAGCTAGTAGTAGAAGTGGTGATTCGGTAGACTTTCCCACAGATCAGAGAGTTCCTGGGTATAGCTGTCAGAAACCACGACACTGGCCACTTTCCTTCCCCGAGGTGCAGTCTGTTAGGTGTCCCTTCTCTAGATTAGCTACTTTTCTGTCACTGATCAAATGCCATGGCTAGAACAACTGGTAGAAGAAGGAGTTTATTTTGGCTTACCATTCCGAGGCATGGAGTCCATGGTGGAGAAGGCATGGCATAGTGCAGGGGCAGGAAGCTGAGAGATCATATCTCGACCATACATGGGAAGCAAGGAGAGAAAACAGGAAGTGGGGGAGAGGTCAGGACCCTCAAAGCCACCCCAACGATGTGCTTCCTATGGCAAGGTACCATAACCTTCCCAAACAGCGCCGCCTACTGGGGACTAACTGTTCAAACACGAGTCAGGTGAGGGCAGTGGCATTTCTGGTTCAGACCATGGCGATTGGTTACTTGTGTTTATAGGTAAATTGATAACATACACAAATTACTTAGGGAAAAACATTTTCTAGGGGTTTATTTTCTTTTTAATTTATTTTATGTATACATGTGCGTCATGGGTATGTTCCCATGAGTGCTGATGCCTGTGGAGGGCAGAAAAGGGTGTCAGAGCCTGGGGCTAGAGTTACAGTCATTGTGAGCTCTCTGTTGTGGCTGGTGGGAACTGAACTCAGGCACTCTGCAGGAGCAGTAGGCAGGCATGTCTAGCAGCCCAGCCATCTCCCCAGTGCCCAATTTTCTCTTTTACTCTTCAAGCTACATAGCTGACTTTTAAAAGTGTTCTCAAAAGGGTGGTGGCTGGCTTCACTTTGTTGCTTTTAAACTGGTATAACTGAGGCATGTACAAATAATTCTTTTGGAAGACTTGAAGTTGCTTTCTCTGTTTCAGAATCTGTACTGTTTCTCCTATCCCCTTGTGCCTGGCCTGCCTTCCAGGTTTGATGTCTGCCACTGGAGACCACTAAGTGGCCACTGGAGACCACTAAGTGGCCACTGGTGATCACTAAGAGGCCACTGGTGACCGCTAAGAGGCGGTTTGGCAAGATACATCCTATTTCTAGGCTGCGTTGTTCTCAGTGTCTTGCACAAACTGATTTTGCAGCAACCCCCGGCCCATGCGTTTCTCATTCGGATTCTTTCTCGAACAGTCATTTCTAGATGGTTTTATGTGTTTGGTATCTAAAAGGGGCTGACTGGTCTTTTTTAGTGTTTATCTCCATTTTTTTCACCATCAAAATGTTTATAACACAATTATCAGGATTCTAATTAAATATAAATATTGTTGGGAAAAATGAACCATCCATACAAGACGAATCAGTATTATTTGGCTAATTCTGTAGAGGCAGTAACAAAGCCTAAAAAATTCTTACTGTTGAATGAACAACTCAAATCACTTAGTAGAAGGTGCTTAGGATACATTTGACAAAATCCTTGAAGTTACTTCTAGAATTTCTCCCAGAATAGAGAGCTGGGCTAAATAAAGGTTTATGTACTATAGTAGATCTTTGCTTAAACTAATTTTTAAAAAATTAGCCGTTCTGGGTTTAGGGGTCCCTTGGTGAAATTATTCAGTTGTAAAATTCAAATTGGTGAAGACTTGAACATTTCAGTTACTGTTATTAATTATCTCCTTTATTTTCCCATTTAGTTTTGATCCCGCTCGCTGTCCCTGCTGACACCTGAGCCGAGGCGGTGATGCTGCCAAGACCTCTGCAGCCCACAAGTCAACCTACATGGTAGGAGTGCCAGCCTTTTAGCCTCAAGGCCACTCAAGTGCAGCACCAGCACAATCTGGAAATGTAATTGAAAATAGAATAGCATAAAAGATATTGATGGCTTTGAATGTTTACTAACAATATAATCTGATATATTGATAATAACTAGTATTTGGGGATGGTAAAAGAGAAAAACTATGACTGGGTATAGTAGTAATATGACTATCTGGTTTATGTCTTACCCAACAGTTCTATTCTTATTTCCCCCTATGAGATTGTTTAAATGAGGTTTTATTTTATGTGTATGATAAGTGTTTTCCTGCATATATGTATCTGCCTGTATTGTGTGCATGCTATGCCTACAGAGATCAAAAGAGGTTGACAGATCCTCTGGCAAATGATTGTGAGGGTCCACGTGGGTGCTGGGAATTGAACTCAGATCCTCTGCAAGAGCAGCTAGTGCCCTTAGTTACCTGCTGAGCCATCTCTTAGCACTGCCTCCCCTTATTAACTGAACTGTACAGTTCTCAAGAGTGACCTTTGCATATGAGTGTTGTGTCACAGTGTCAAATGGTGTAATGATAGAACCCATAATTGATAAGGTCCCAGAAAAACAGCCATGTGAGAAACATTTTCAAAGATAGGAATACAAAAGTCCTTCCAGCACTCGAGAAAGGTATCTGCAGAAACCCTGTAGCTAATACTGGAATCATTAGTAACAGAGGAAATGCTTTCACCTGAGGCTAGGAACAAGGCAAGGGTGGCCTAGAGATCCGTGAGCACAGGGAAGCAGGAACGGAAATTAGAAGACCCAGGAAAGGAAGAAACAGAAATCAAATTAGCCTTCTAGGCTCTGCAGGAGAGAAAGGATGAGAAGCAAGATAGTGAAGTCTAGATGCTAGTGGAGGCGGTGCAGGTTTTGTTGTTGTTGTTTGTTTACATACCTCTACAGAAAGAGATGAACAGAAAAAAAAAGGCAAAACAGCTGGCATGCTAACATAGGATAGTGGTTTTTAAAGTCCCTGGAAATTTCTGTCCTTTCTCCATGGGCTGAGACTTCTAAAGTTCCCCATCCTATTGATTTAGGCCACAGAGACTTAGCTAGAGAATACTTTGGGGCTTGAGGCTGCCCCCATTTCTGTGACTCTGCAGCTCTCAAGAGTTCTGAAACAAGCAGGGGCCAACAGCTAGGGGGAGGGGCTGCACCTCAACATCTGTAACCCTGATGAGTTGTGAATGCACCTCGTACTGAAGATGGACCATGGCAAATATTTCTAACAAGAGGACTGGGGATAGGAGTGGATGCTGACAGCCAGTAGATGTCTACTAGATGTATGTGCGCATGCATGCATATGTGAGCACATGTGCATGTATGTATACCTGCATGTGTGTGCGTGTGCTTGTGGTGGGGCATGTGTGCACGCATGCCTGTATGTGCGTGTGTTTGTGTGTATGCACTCATGTGTGTGTGTGTATCCCCGTGTGTGTGTGTGCATGTGTGTATACTTGTATGGTGTTTATCATTTGGATCCCATTGTATATCACTACAAGTCACATGTTATGGCTATTGATTACTTAGTGCTCCCCAACCTTTACTCCTTTTTATGAAGTTTCACAGTATGGAGTTGGGGAAATTTGAATTCTGGTCCTGACTGCTTGGAATAGTTGTGTGACCTGTCTAGTGGCTTTGGATGATTTTCTAGAAATAAGACAATTTGAAATAAATCAATTACTCTAGCCTGGGTAGGATGTCTAGACATTTTATTAAACCTATGGCTGTGTGCCTTTCCAATCGCATGCTCTGTGGGGTGGGGTGGAATAGTACAGTAGTTCATACATTAATCCCGAAAGCAGAGGAGACAGATTTAAGTGCTATCCGTCAGCGGCCGTTCTTTTGCTTGAATTGAGTCGAAGTCATGAAAACGCTAAGTGCCAAGTCCATCTTCTGAATCGAGTCGAAGTCATGAAAACGCTAAGTGCCAAGTCCATCTTCTGAATCGAGTCGAAGTCATGAAAACGCTAAGTGCCAAGTCCATCTTCTGAATCGAGTCGAAGTCATGAAAACGCTAAGTGCCAAGTCCATCTTCTGAATCGAGTCGAAGTCATGAAAACGCTAAGTGCCAAGTCCATCTTCTGAATCGAGTCGAAGTCATGAAAACGCTAAGTGCCAAGTCCATCTTCTGAATCGAGTCGAAGTCATGAAAACGCTAAGTGCCAAGTCCATCTTCTGAATCGAGTCGAAGTCATGAAAACGCTAAGTGCCAAGTCCATCTTCTGAAGTGTTCCAGCCTTGAGCTTTATGAGGCAGTGGCTCTCAGCTCTCAGCCTTACTTAGCAGCTCTGAGCTCCCATTCCCAGCAGCTGTCAGCAGCTGGTGTTGACGGCTGCTCTTGGCAGCCCTCTTAGCAGCTCTCTGTCGCTGTCCCCAAGCAGAGCCAGTAGCTCCTGGCAGCTCGCTCCACAACTCTGCCCGCTTGGCATTTTCAAAGCCAGCTTTCAGTGAAAAGAACTCAGCCCACTCAATCCCTGATGCAGACATGAGCAGATGATAAAAGCATCAGAACATGGTTCTACCAGGGTTTCCATAAGCTGCTGTGCTTGCAACAGAGACTTGACCCTGGCCCAGTGAGGACAAGATGAACACTGCTTATGTAGACGTGAGAGAGCTCATGCACCATCTGCTGCTCACTAACTATGGACTTCCTGTGTTGCCATGCCGGCCTGTACAAGAATATAGGACTTACCTACCCTGCCTGTCATAGATAGGGGGATGCTGGTCACAGACCAGAGTTAGGAAACCAGAAATAACTGTAGTGTGGGCAGAGATACCTGAAGTGCTGAGGCTATGTGTCCAGGGACACTTGCAGAGGGACCGCTGCACGAAGGGCTGAAGGAAATGTACCAGGAATGGTGCTGGCTAGTTTTATGTCAACCTGATGTAACTCAGCTGAGAAAACGCCCCTATCAGACTGGCCTGTGGAGAGCCCATGGGGCATTTAATGTGGAAGGACCCGGCTCACTGTGGACAGTGCTGGTGCTACTCAGGTGGTCCTGTGTTGTACGAGAAGGCAGCCGGAGCAAACCAGTAAGCAGCACCTTCCATGGCCTCTGTTCAATTTCTGCCTCCAGGTTCCTGCCCTGTTTGACTTACTGCCTGCCTTCCTTCAGTGATGGGCTGTGATGTGGAAGTATAAGCCACATAAACCCTTTCCTCCCCAAGGTGCTCTGGGGTGTGGTGTTTATTACAGCAACCACCCTGGTGGTTGCTATAACAACTTCAGAAGTGATGGTGCCTGGAAGCGGCCTGCTCTGCTGTCAGAAAGATAGCGCGCTCAATCCTCAAGGCAGCCATACTCACACACTCACTGGAAGCCCCGCTCCCATTGGAAGCTGGGGCAGATGTTGTGGCAGCCAAGATGCAGAAGCCCAGAATTCAGAGCCAGGGCTCCCAGCAGCCATGCCTGATCTCGGCTGATTTGTGCTGCTGTGGACCATCCCGGATCCCTTTAGGATGGTGGTAGCAGCTGTACCAAGGAGCCCATCATTTAGGGCTCCGGGAGATGCAGGCTTGACTGTCAGTTTGCTGGCCTTGTAAGGGAAAGATCATATTTGATTAATGTCTTGTGTGGCTGCCATTTGTGTTTCCTGGGTGGGACTTCCCTCCCCTTCTGTTATGTCTCTTTAGCCTGCAGACCAGCACAGCCTTCAGCACGGTTTTCGCTTGTGCTTTTTTCATTGCTATTTAACTGCTACAGGTTGTTTGTCATCTGTAGCTCAGCAGAGTTGTTCACATATTTGAAACATGGGTCTTTATTTCTATGAGTTGGAGCCTGAAGGACTCCAGGACACAGGAATGTCCTTTTTTTTTTTGGTTTTATGAGACAGGGTTTCTCTGTATCGTTTTGGAGGCTGTCGGTCGAGCCCTGCCTGGAACTCACAGAGGTCCACCTGCCTCTGCCTCCCGAGTGCTGGGATTAAAGGCGTGCGCCACGGCAGGAATGTCCTTTTTTATTGATTATAACACTTTTGAAATAATTCCTATAAATTATTGTCATTTTTCAAAACATACCTGTTTTCATACACACCTAGAAATAATCTCTCATTTTAGTAGAGAAATATATGCATTTGGCATGTGCTGAAAGGAGACTAGACTACAGGAAGCACTGGAGGAGAGCCAGAAGGCCTTCTTCCTCCTGTGGTAAATTGGGCTTTTCCTTGGCATGGCCACAGCATTTCACCCAGTCTCCTTAGCAACTCTGCATTCTAGTCTTACATGCTCAGTTTCTTCACAGACACCAAATAGAATGTGTGTTACAAGGAGCCATACTGGATCGTGGTCCACAGAGACCCGGGACTATTCCCTTGGCCTGAGCGAGCTTAGGTGTGTGTGTGTGTGTGTGTGTGTGTGTGTGTGTGTGTGTGTGTGTGTGTAAAGGAGTGCAGAAAGGAATAACACAGGAATCTCAATTCGTGCATACCATCAGCCGCAAGGCAGTGTGGGGAGGGGAGGATCCAGACAGGTAGTCGGTTAGGGAGATAAAATCTGTGCTATAAATGGAACAGCAGAAAGGTAAACCAGTTTATCTCTTTTATATGCTGGAGTTGACCATTCAGGACAATGAGAGTTAAGCTGAGAGGAACTTCCGAGGAGAGGGAAGGAGAGAAAAGTGGAGACACCGCATTGGAAGTCAAGGTCATCTCCAGTTCTCAAACTGACAGACCACACTGCAGACAGCAGAGGTGACCACTTAGCACAGGGCAAGTCCTTAGGTTAGTGTGATCTTTGCTGTCCCTCTGTCCCCTCAGATCGCATTTTTGAAGTGTAACAGAGAGGATATGTTCAGGCAGCATGACTGCAGAGGATCACATGACTAATGGGACCTCAGAAAGCCAAGCCCTTGCTTTGACTGTGGGAAGGTTTAGCTAGTGATGACTGCTTCCCAGGAGATATGAGGAGGCCCTTGACTCCACCCAGGGTACTGTAACACTGAAGCAAATAGTCTAGATTGAGTCCTGGCTTGGAAATAAAAAGGGCGCCCTTAGGTGAAAAGACATTGTGGACTCTGGTCAGCATCATGTCACTCTCTGCGTGTGGCCACAAGGATGCCGCGGGGATCGCTTGTCTTCCAAGGTGAATTACCAGCTCATGTAATTAGAAAGCCAGCGTCTGCAGCATGTGCAGACTTAGTTCAGTGTGAAAATGTAGCCTGCACCACCCAATTTAGCTCTGCCACACACCGCGCTCTGAATTGCCTGGCACGCAGCAATCAGACTAAAGGTCACCAGCCCTTCAGGAATAGAAAAGACAGGATCGTTAGCCCTGTCAGACCTTCCAAGCGAATGGAGTCTTAGGTCTCTTGTATAAAGATAGGGACACCTTACCTCCTGCCTTGCCTGTTTTTAACCCTTTTATTTCTCTCTCTTGTTTGACTGCTATAGCGAAGGCATTAAGCACTGGGTTGAATGAGTGGAGAAATTGTGGACGCGCCATCCTCCCCTGATCTTAGTGGAGAGGTTTCGGTGTTTTCTCATTTGCTACAGTGCTGACCAAGGTTTTCATGTGTGCCTTTGTTTTGTTGGGTTACAATCCCTCTATTCTTCATTTGGGGTTTTTATCAAGAAGGAACTCTCAGTACAAAAACACAACTCTGATCTCACAAGGGTTAAGGGGCAGTTCATTCTAGAGTGAAATATGAGTGACCAATTGCGCGGGAACACAGATTTGGGTTGTCTTAAATAAATAATAGTTTGCTGATGTTTTTATGGTAACAGAACAAAGAGAGTCATGAATCAAGGCATTCTCAAATAAACCATGAGAAATGTTAGGGCACTGGTTACAGCAAGGCTCGGATGTTTCAGCTGTGACTTCAGGTGCTGTCTGGTGTCATTTTAGACTTTATGTGATGAAACTAGGGTTTTGTTGAGTTAATATATCCCAAGAGGCTTTGTCTGTTAGTCACAGAATGGTAGACCAGACACAGAAGTGGGCAAGGGATGGTTATTTAGCAAGCTGAAGGTATATTGTATATATGAGATAAACTGTAGGGAGGAGCTGCCTGTGATTTTCCAACCTATCTACAGGCAGTGAGGTTCTGATTGGCCAGTCAGCTTTGCAGAAGCGTCAGTGCCAATGTGCTTCTCTTCAGGGACTTCAACTCGCAGTCCCCCATCAGTCATACATCACACCTTGTGCATGTGCGGACTGCATATAATTTATTAAATATTATTAATGTCGCCTGTCACTAGGAAAGTTTCATTCCTAGGAACTGATGTAGATGAGGCCGGGTGCTAGGCAGAACAACAGTTTTCAGGTTGGTAAAGTCGTTAGGAAAAAACTGTAATTATTGGATCATATCAAAATTTACTAGCCAATGTCATCAGATTTGATTTTTTGGTCTGTATTTGTCGTGACATGTAACAGGTCCCAGGAGTAATCTAAAATTAAAATAATCAAGAACACTGGAGGGCTAACAAAGTAAATTTGGGAAACAGATAATTTAAACAACAGAAATTTACAATTGTGCAGCTATTTGATTGGTTGCCAGTTTCCTCCTGTACTGACAGTTACTTGTAGCCTATGAACTTGTTTTATTGTTGGGGTATTGAAAACACCTATTGCCTTTTAATTTTAGTTGGTCTTTTGGTCAGCTTGATCCTACAGCTACAACCATGTGCAAGATCCTGCTCTGATTTCCAGAAAAGATAACGTTATTAACAGTTTAGTACTGCCAGGTTAGTATTGCTTTACCATCTAGGAATAGACTAAAAATACTAAATATTATGAGCAACTTTAAAAAAATCTAATTAAAATGTTTAGCCTTGGTTACTGCATTTCTAATGCAGTTGAACATGAGTGTTATCTAGTACTTGGAGTCCGTGTGGATGTGTTCTAGGATGAAGCTGATCCATGTTTGAAACAACAAGCTAAAAGTTTGTCCCGTGAGGTTTTATATTATAGGAGTAGACTGGAACTACCAGGGTGGAACCCTTTTCTTGTAGGCAGCCCGGAGGCTTTAATGGGATTCGCTGCCCCCAATTGATGAAATCGTCTGATTTTATCCTTCTGGAAAGACTCTTGTAACTAATTCAGAATTTTTAGTCATCAGATTTAAAGTCTCACACATCCGGAGACATTGTGCAGGGGTCCATTGGGCCACTTCGTGGGGACTGCTGCCTCAGACAGGCACTTTTTTTTTTACTTCTTACTCAATTTCTCTTGCATTGTGGGACATTGTCCTGTGTGGGGGGGGTTAATTTGCAGGACAGAATTTTTGTGCCTTTATCATGACATCCTTAAGAAATCCAGGCTTGGCTCGGCTTGTGACCTTCAAACTCAGACTACCTCTCTCTGCCTAGAAAGTGGACACGCTGGTGGTTACTGTGCAGCTCCTTTGGGTTTTCCTGTCTTGTCTCTCTTCACCATTCCAATTGCAGCTGCGATCAGTTTCTAAGCAGCATCCATGTGCTGAGGTAACCACTGTGAGCACGAGGCTGGGGCTTCCCCTCCTTCAGCTGGCCATGTGACTCTGCAGCTCCAGTAGTGACTGGAATGTTTGGCCTCGATACTCACAGGCTTCCTTTTTTCTCTCTGGTTTTGCTCTGACTTGAGTGTTCCTATCTCATGCACTGGATCAAATTGCTAACTTGGCTGACAAACTCCACAATTTCTGAGAATCCCTTGGTGTTGTGTGGTCCCTACCAAGACCTGGTGACAAACCAAAAGCTTTGTAACAAGGGTCTACTCTGAAGTGATGGCAGAGTCCCTGGGCATGCATTTGGCTCTGCTGGCATTCAACGTAAGCCTTACCTTCCTATCATTGACACTTCTATGTCATCTGGAGTCTGTTGGGTAATGTAGACTAAGCAGATGGGCTACCTATGCCACAGCCCGCCCAAACCAGGGAGCTGCAATTTCAACCCAGTGTGAGGGCCAGGTCTGTTGTTCCCCAAGCCCAACCTAACAGGTATTGACAAACTGTCCCTCCTTGTGTTGGGGCATTAAAAATACAACAGTTTTCCTTTTATCTGGGAGGGTGTCTTGGGGTTTCTATTGCTGTGAAGAGACACCATAACCACAGCAACTCTTATAAAGGAAAACATTTACTTGGGACTGGCTTACAGTTTCAGAGGTCCAGTCCATTACCATCATGGTGGGAAACATGGTGGCATGCAGGCCAGGTGCTGGAGATGGAGCATCTCGACTTGCAGGCAACAGGAAGTGGTCTGTCTTACTGGGTGTGGCTTGAGCATATGTGAGACTTCAAAGCCCACTCCCAAAGTGACACACTTTCTCCAACAAGACAACACCTACTCCAATAAGGCCACACCTTCTAATAGTGCCACACCTTTGGGGGGCATTTTCTTTCAAACCACCACAGAGGAGCTATCCCAGCACAACCTTGACTACTGCATCTCTTCCAGCGCCAGTATTCTGAGGTTTTCTGTAGAACTTATCTGTCACACTTTAAAGACATAGGCCTCCAGCATATCAGCTGCTATGCAGTCTTTCTGTCTGATCAGTGGGATGCCCAGTAATCTGTTTCTTTCTTATTGGGCTCAGCCCTTCTTAGGCTGGGTTATGCCATTGTCTGTCCCTCGTCACCCGCTTGTTACAGAGAATGAATATATGCTACAGCACCGCTGGAGGTGTTTGGCTTCAACAGCATCGCATGCATCCACCTACATGTCCCCTCTGAGACTTCAGGATGCCAGTTTTCTCCACTGGGCCCAGATGCTGCTCCTGTCTTGGCTGGCAGACTTTCCCAACTCTAACTCCACAGGTGGAACTTCAGCCCGCAGTCTCCATTGTGTCCACGCTTCAGGTACAGGTTCCCAGAGGACCGCTTTGTGCCCACCAGCAATGTCTTACAGTCAAAATCCTTGGCCATGATCTGCTCATGTATAGCTCTCCTTCTCTCATTGGCTTTTCACAGGACATGAGTACAGCTCATCTGTCACTGGCTGTGCTGCTGTTTTGTGGCTGGTGTCACCTCTGAATCTTCCAGATGTCTGTACTGCTGCCCCTGCCGTGCCACATCCCTCCACCAGGGCATTTTCCTAACCGAGCCATGCCACATGACAAGGACTGCATGTTACCTATCAGCTTGGGCATCGTTCCCTCACCCTCACCTGCAGAGTGGTGTTCAGACAAGTCCTAAGTCCCCACATGCTCCCACTCTTGGGGTCACTTGTGTTAGCTTTTGCCTGAGAAATGGAGGCCCAGATATGATTAAGGAAGTCCCCTCTGTGAAAAGAGCTGGGGTAGGGCACCAAGGAAGCCAGGACAGCACAAGCCAGCCCTGTGGGGACAGAGCATCCTCCTGGCAGTGTGGCACAGCAGAGGTCGAGGGGCCGTGACTTTTCTCTGCCTTTGCTGGTTGCTCGATGTTGCATTCCAGTTTCTGTCTGCAGAATTTGTCCATCTGTCTCATGCAGTGAGATCTGTCTGTCTCCTCCACTAAACAGTGCAGTCACTCCAAGCTGGGCACCGTGGTCCCACTTCCAGATTCCTAGGGATCTGAGATGTAGTTTGCGGTTCTGCGATCTAGATTGTCTCTTTCTCAGGAGAGACCATTTCCCAGAAAAGTGGGAAAAACCAACCATACCTCTAACAAGATTCCTTACAAAGCCCCTGACAACCCATAAAAATGTCAATGGCAACCTTTGCTTCACACTTAGCAGACAGACAGACAGACAGACAGACAGACTTGAAAGCATGGCTTGATATATCCTGGTTCTTCCAAAAAAGAAAAACTCATGCTGACTCTTCTGTGGATGACAGTCAGATTAATCAACTATGTTTGTCTTTGTCATTGCAAAGCATTCTCAGAAGTAATGAACAACTCTGTGATCATTTCCCTTTTGCTTTCTGGTGCTTCAGTTAATTCTAGACTGAATTAGTGTCAGATAAAATAAAGGCATCCTGGGAAAAGCATGCAAGGACTTCACACTGGCCCAGAAAGTGTTGCTTACAGTGGATTGGAAAGTTGTTTGCTAAAAGTGCAGGCAAGGAGGCTATCCCTGTATGTGTTGTTGGTGTTTATATGTGTGTGGGAGCTTCAGAGAGAGGCACAGGGGTGAGAAAGTAGTCAAGGCTGAAATTCTAGAACAGTAGCAGCAGAGGAGGCAAACGATGATACGTATGTATGTGGCTGGATAAGCAACAGATTCATTTTTCCAGAATCAGGTTGCACTGAGGTCCATTTGTGGCATTGGAGTGAGCAGAATCCATAGAGTTGACTCACCTTGGAGAAAAGGCAGCCACCGGCCTCCCTGTGATAGCCTCAGACATTCTTGCAGGTTGCAGGAATGAATTTTAAGGGGGGAATTTAAGAAGAGGAGGTGTCAAGTTGCTGTGTCTTCTCCATCCTCAGACCTCTTTGTAACAGTAGAGTATAGTGTGGTGAGTGAAGACTTGAGATGCAGGGACACCAGCCATTGAGACAATTATCACTACAATTACAGCTCCCAATAGGATTGGGTTGGCCATGCCGAATGGAAAGCACCTGATCCATTAGAAGGTGAGGGTGAAGGGACCTTGAACAAGACCTTCACCATAGTTTCTGTGGGAAAGACTCTCTGAGGTAGGGAAGACTGAGAATTTGCTAGTTTGAATAATTTCGTGGCCTTCGGGGTATGGGGCTGTCTGTAGCTGTCTTGACAGGTTTCCCAGAATGGATTAGGGGAGGTGGACAGTGGACCTAGCAAAGCAGGCAGTGGGTGTGAGGTTCTGGATTGGGAGAGCTACCCTTAAGAGCACAGTGTTTCTAAAGATTGGTAACTCTCTCAGGGGCAGGCTGAAACATCTGGAAAAAGCCTGCATTCCAGTAGGACTGTGAGGTGCAAAGCTTTTCTCATTTGTGCCCTAAAAACATCTTATTAGTCTCAGGTTAGCCTTTACAGCTGTTTCCCAAGGATGCCATGAGCCTCCCCTTGCTACACATCACTTATCCAGCAACCCCCTAGGATACAGGAAGATGTTGTTTTACCCTTTGGCAGGGTGGAATGGGGAGGCACAGGACACATACCTGTGTAGGTGTATGTGCGAGACATTGTGTGTGTGTGTGTGTGTGTGTGTGTGTGTGTGAGTCAGCCCAAGCCAGCTGCCTGATTGGCCAAAAGGATAGACATGTGCATTTAACCCTCAACCTGGGAGATGTCGAACAGCTCTGGAGAAAATGGAATCCAGATCTCTCATTTCAGATAATTTGTAGACTTGAAAGTGAGGCACCAGAGATAGGTGTGTGATTAGGGTTCAGTGTATTTGAACAATTGTAGGTCCAAATATGGGTGATGACTTTCTGTCCTGAAGGTTTCTATACCAACCATGTTTCTAGGCAGGTCTAAGGTTAAAAGTTTGGCATTGAATTCTGAACAGATGTAGAAGCGAGTATTATGTCCAACTCATGTCACACTTTGTGGGGCATAAAGTACTTAGAAGGCAGTGAGTGCTTAGGCAGTCTCACAAGCTGGCATTGGGAGCTGCGATGCAGGTCCTGTCTGGCATCTGCTTCCGTTGTCTCCCCGGCTTTCTCTTCAGAAGCCCTGGCCATCCCTTCTGCCTTTATTGCTCTATTTCTCTGTGACCTTTTTTAAAATTATTTGACAGTTTCATACATGCATATGCTGAATTTTGGCCGTTTTCACTCTGTCTCTCACCCACAGCCCTCTCCTGCTGAGATCTTCCTTCTCAACATAGCCATTGGGACTTTGGGATGTGTGTGTGTGTGTGTGTGTGTGTGTGTGTGTGTGTGTGTGTGTGTACATATGTGTGTCCCACTGAGGTTAATTAAGATTGCTTGCATGAGTATCCATGGGGGGTTATTCACAGAAGCATGGGCAACTTAGCAGCTACACCATTACAATCAATGTCATTATTTCACCCCAGCACCCATTAACTGCCCATAGTCCCTCTGTGAGGGATGGGCCTCATTGGTTCCTTGCTCATGCATAATAAGTTGGTGACCAGCCCAGTCCAATGCAGGTTTTATGCAGGTAAACACAGCTATGGTGAGTTCATCAGTGCAGTGGCAATGCCATGACTGGAACACTGTTTTACAGCTCTCCTTCTCGACCTCCAATGCTTAGATTCTTATTGCCCCTCCTTCCATGATGTTCCTGAGCCTTGGGTGAGGGAGCGGAGCTTGTGTAGGACCGAGCACACCACAGTCACTCACTCTCAGCACTTTGATGAGTTGTGTGTTCCTGCATTCACCACCATTTGTTGTGAAAATGCTCCTCTGACAAAGACTAAGAGCAGAGCCAGTCTGGATATAAGCACAAATATTTAGAAGGAAGGTCATGTCCATTTACAAAACAGCTAGTGGGTTTTCCCCTAGGGCCTATGATGTCACCAGCCACAGACTCTTGACTAGGTTTACAATACAAGGCATGAGTCTCACATCCCAATAGAGAGAAAGTTTATCACTCCCATAAAAGGCATGCTACTATTGGCGTCAGCAAGTGTTATCTCGCGGGTTGTTATTGTAATGGGTCGAGTCCACAGCTGGGTAGAACCATTGGTGACCTGCCAGCAACTATCCTTCCTGCCTGTCCACTGGCCACACAGTGCTTTATTCATTAACCAGTAAGAGAAACATACACAGAATAACATCCATCAGTCAGCCTGTTGCATTGGGCTTTGCTGAGGTAACGTGCTGTGGAGGCAATAGTGGGGCAACCAATAAGGGGCTCATCCTTAGGATAGGCTAATTCTCATTCACCCAGAAGTCATGGGTTGCCTGTAGTTTGTTGTCTTGAGTAGGACCCTGCAAAATGTCCCCCTTCCAGTGTTGACATGTGTAACAAGAGGTTCTTTGTCCCAGCTGGTCCCACAGCCCTTGAGCCCCCAGATAAACACACAAAGACCTTGGACTTCTTATTGGTTAGCTCTGTCGTAATTATTAACCCATTTGTATTAATCTATGTATTTCCACATGGTCTTGGCTTAGCGGAGAATGCCTTGCACGTCCTCTCTTCCTGGGCTCTACATGACGACTCCAGTCTGCCTACACTTCCCAGAATTTTCCTCCTCTGGTAGTCATGCTTATCCTTCCTGCCTGGCCACTAGCCACACAGTGTTTTATTCACCAACCAATAAGAGAAACATATATACAGTAGGACTTCCCCCATCAGACATGTCCATTAATATTCCCATCGTTCTAGCCTTGATTATGCAGCTGTTTCTAGAGGAGACTGGTTCATAGCAGACTTCCTCGTGTGCTGGCTCTTACAATCTTTCTGCCCCTTCTTCCTGGATGTCTCATGAGCCATAGATTCAGGAGTGGCATCCATTGAGTTGAAGTCCCCACAATCTGTTATCTCTGCACTATATCCAGTTGTGGTTTTCTGTGAGGGTCTCCAATCGCTGTAGAGAGAGGTGCATCTTTGATGAGCTATGGTAGTTACACTTACCTGTGATGTAAAGATGAAATTTAGAATGTAGTAAGGGATCACGCTGTTGTAGCAGTGGCAGTTGTGGATTCTTTTCTAAGGTCCAGGACTTCACTATCCCCTGGAAGCTGGCTAGTTTTCTCCTGTTGATATAAAGCAAGAAAACGAAACACACCAATTCTGGTAAATATTACAAACATTATACTGAAAGAAAAATCTCAAGACTTGGTATGACTCCAGTTATATCAAACTCAGTTAAAAACTAAACCGTACAATGAGAAGCTTCCTGCATAGGTGGTTCAGAAAGGGCTAGGGACACCTGCCCGATGCTCAGGGTCTTGAGGAGGGAGAAAGGAGCTGTGACCAGGAAGGGACATTCAGAGACATTCCTGGATGCCAGCAATCCCTGCTTCTCCACCCAGTGATAATTACACAGGCATGCCAAAGTGTCTTCTAACATTGTGAGAGATGTAGAATGCATTTTGTGTATATTTTGCTTTAACTAATACTAATGTGTTTTGCTTGTTTTTGTTTTTGTTTGTTTTTGAGACAAGCTCTCACTGTATAGCTCTGGCTATCCTGGAACTTGATTTGTAGACCAGGTTGGCCTCAGATTCACAGATACCCACCTGCTTCTGCCTTCTGAGTGCTTGGATTAAAAGCGTGTGCCACCATGCCCGGTTGTAATTTATTTTTTTCTTGCCCTTTTCCTTTTCTTTCTGCTGTCATTTCAGTGGAGAGGGAGTGAGGGAATGATTCATGATCTCAGGCACTTACATGTACCTGGAACTCAAGGATATTCTTCTACTAAAGGAGAATTTTACATATCTTTGTAATTCTAAGGTAACTAAACATGCATCACCTAGCTAATTATTTCACATAGGAATGAAAAGCTAATTAAAATTCCTGGCCAAGGATCCTTTCCTAAAAAATATTAAAGCTCCAGATTTACTTAAATGAGACCATGACTGTTTTTTAAAGAATATATGTATCTTTTTGATTTTTAGATTGTCAGCCATGCCTTTAGTGAAAAGGAACATCGAACCCCGGCACCTGTGCCGCGGTGCTCTGCCAGAAGGAATCACCAGTGAGCTTGAATGCGTAACCAATAGCACCCTCGCAGCAATCATCCGCCAGCTGAGCAGTCTGAGTAAGTCCCTGCTTTCTCCCCTGGTGATTGGCGTGTTTTATGGACTTCACACTATCCCGTGGGCTTTGACTCAAGAGTGACAGCTGTAAGGAAAGGAATCCTCCGTTTTCCATGACAATGTCTGTGTCTGCCCTGAGCTCCTGAAGCCTGGCCCTACATTTAAAGTTGTCATGATGAAAATATGAGCTTGCTCGTCGTTAAAGAGAACCAAATGTGTAGACTTCACATCGTGTTAATTTTAAATACCTTCTAAGACCAATTTGATTGTGGATTAAATTTTTTTCTTTAATGAACTGTCTTACTAAATTTGACATGACCTAGGTTTTTAAAAACCTGTTTAGCATCACAGTGCAACAGTGTGCTGTTGGTGTTCAACAGATGTCTTCCCAATTCCAAATAGAAAATAAACAGGTAGGCTGATTATTGCATACATATTACATATGTTAGACACATGTGTAGTTGATTGATAGTGGATACACCTTAAGGAAGGAAAGAGTCCTTATTCTGTCAGTGAAGATTAATATTAAATACCCAAGGGATATCTTTTGGGGACTCAGATATGCGCAGAAAGCCTTTTTCTTCAAAGCTTTATGAAATTGTGCTATCTTTTCCCACTTGACTTTTCCGTCCTGACCTTCTTTTCTCACTTTCTCTCCATTCCTTTTTAGTGGTGACAGATTTTCACACTGCAGATTTGTAGGAACTCGTAATAGCTGGAACATCTTCATGAAATTCTATATTCTGGTAGCCTTAAGCACAGAAGATAGGTGTGTGTGTGTGTGTGTGTGTGTGTGTGTGTGTGTGTGTGTGTGTGTGTAGGGGAGACAAAGAAAGAGACAGAGAGACATACACTTATAGACTTAAGTGTTTTAATGTATTTGCTTTGGAAAAGAACGACTACAGGTAACTATTTCCTTGTAAGAGTTATATTTGGTACTGATGTTTTTAACGAGCTTTGTGAATTAAGGAAAACATAACTTGGAATTTAATTAATGTGTAATTTGGAATGGATTTCCTCATGAATCTAAGCTAATTACAACTGACTTTGAGGTAGTGGTTATTCATAGAATACATACATTTGTATAATTACAGAAAAAAAATCCCTTGCAGTTTATTGATAGACACATTTCTCTTTGCTTTTGTATGTTTTTGCAAGTTCACTTTCTTGTTTGTAGCTAGACTGTCTGCTGATGTAAAGTTGAAGTTACAGAAATTAACTTAAACTTAGAATTTAATAACAAGGCTACCTCTTGAACTGTGGTGTTCAGCAGGATGTTATATTAATCAGGTTTATTCTACCTGTTTTCACGTAGTCCCATGTAACTGGCTTTCAGCCCTTTTGGTATGTACTCACCAAATCCCTTCCAGATGTAGCCATATCCCTGTGTTTGAAACCTGTAGATGTGTTAGTTACACACAGGGGAACATACAGAAAGCAGGTGACCTTAGGGTATTTCCTGGGCCCAGGAAATCACGGATTGTGGGATTCCTTTAAATGGGGAGGGAGACAGTAGAAAAACTGCTATTGGAGTGTTTCCTATCAGAACGACTGCTACCTTTGGAGGTGAAGGACAGGCAGTCCTTAAAAGCTAAAACAGGGGAATAGTTCTCCTGAGGCTTCCAAAAGAATATAGATTTGCTAATATCTTGACTTTATTATAGTGCAGACCAAGTCCATTCTAGATGTCAGTCCTGTAGGTAGAGGATAATGAGTGTAGTTCATTGTGAATACTACACCCACAATAGAAACACATTTGTTACACTGCTTTGGATTTTGTTGTATTGCACATGATCACACACAGACTTGACATTGCTGTACACCACTGATCATCCATGGCCTCGTGACTGGACCAGCAATGGGTACCTGCCTCTCAAGGACACAAGATTCCAGGAAGCATCCCATAGGTGTTGATTGGAATATGGAGCAGAGATGCCAGCCACCAACTGCAGACCTGTGTGTTTGCATTTAAAACAAAATCTAGGGTAATCAATTCATTTTCGGAAGTTCCAATTAAGAAATGCAATGACTTATGGGACCTGCTGTTAAAATATCATCCAACAATAAGGAGCCACGATGACCACCAGGGAAACCCAAGTTGTAGAGGAGGCAGATATGAGAAGAAAGATGCAGTCAGTGTCTCTTGATAGGTCCATAACTCCCCAAACTGCACCACCAACAGGGGACCAAGTGAGCAAGTGGGGAACATTCCTTCTTCAAACCAGCACACTCATAGTAAGTTTCAACCTTGTTCTCCATCTTATCCTCTGCAATTTATTCTGTTTGGTTGCATTGGATGTGCCCCCTACTGTGCTTCAGTCTTTGGGGAGTCTTTCCTTGCTGGGATTTATTGGTGACTGAGTTCCAAGTATGTGTATGAGCAGGCTGCTAACCTCAGGTTCTCATCAGCAACTTTCTGACTATGAGGGTGGGCAAGATTGTGTGCCAAGTAGAACCAAGCAGCCTGATTTTGGTTGCTTAGGCAATGGCTGAGATGGCTCCCCCTTGGGTTTTTCCCCCTCGGTATTTATGACCAATCTCAGCCTCATTGCCCCCATCTCTGCAGTCTGCACTGGCCTTCTATCTTTCTACCCAAGGAGTGGCCCACCATGAGAAAGTGGACTAGATAGCACCCGGATCAGAATTTACAGTGTAATTTGGATCAGTACTGCCTTCGTCACATGGGCTCCACCCCCATTGTACCATCACCAGGCAGACAAAGTGGCACAGGATTGTAACCTCAGCATGGCAAGTGGAGGCAGGAGGATCGGGGGTTCAGAGTCATCCTTGAATACACAGAGAGTTCCAGCCTGACTCCATGAGACCCTGTTTTTCGTGGTCTTTTCTTTTCTAATTCATTATCATCCTAAGGTGTTGTTTTTCTCAGTGTTAGGGCTCTGGCCCAGGTTCTTGTGCACTCTAGAGCATGAGTCTGCTCAAGTAACCAACCAAGCTGCACCCATTTCTCAGCATTTACAACAGAGTTCTGGGAATGCATGAATTTGTCATTTTAGAAAGTCTTTTGATAAATATCCCATTCTCTATGATAAAGTCAAAGCAGAATCTTTAAAAAACCTTCTTGGCTCCTTGGATTGTTCAGGCAATCCAGATGGGAAAGGATTACCTAACCGCTTCTGCTCTTCTATCCAAACTCTCCTCCTGCCTGCCTTCAAGTCAGTCCATATTTCTCCCTCCCTCCATCACATCAGCCCCTCCCCCTCCCTCCTTCCCTCCCTCACATCAGCCCCTCTCCCTCCATCACATCAGCCCCCTCCCTCCCTCTATCACATCAGCCCCCCCTCCCTCCCTCCATCACATCAGCCCTCCCCCTCCCTCCCTCCATCACATCAGCCCCTCCTACTGCCATCCACTATCAACACTTTCAGGTGCAGGTCCAGATGGGTGATGTTCAGTATCTAGATTTCCTACAGGTGTGAGAGAAAGACTGACTGCCCATCAGGCCATTGTGGTCAGTGGGAAGGATTTAATGAGAGCTAAAGGACTTGCCTTAACCTTGCATTGGCTATCCCTCTCTTGAGAGCAGAGGCTTGCATGGGGACCCACCATTTTCTTGTGGTTCTAGAGTAGACAAACACACCAGGAATCCCCTGGAATGGTGGTTGTCTGTCACTCACCTGGTCATTTTGATTCTCCTAAGTTTATGGGAAGCTCAAGAAGTGAGGATTGAAGACATTGCCCAAAGCCTGAAGAGATGTTGTCTCTGCGTGCCTTCGTGGTGTTGGCACATTACTTCTACAGCCTAATTTAACACCAGCTGTCAAGGCAAAGGATTTTTGCAGCTTTTTTCCCAGTGGGGTTTTTAGGAAACCTTTACAATGAGAGGATATTGCCTGCTGCTGCTAAGGTTAGGGACAATCAGACAGGAATGAAGATTCTTGTAACTTGAACAGTGTTAGTTTGAAAGACAAGGCCCACAAACCTTCAGTTTATCCAGTAATAGTTACAAAGTATTCATTATGAATTTTCTGATATTTTTGGAATGGTACCAACTTCCAATATAGGAGATTGGAGGAGTGGGTGAGGGAGAAAAGCCTCGCTGACACAGCTTTGGCTAACTCTGTGTTACTTGGTGTCCAGCTGAGGAGCATTGAGCCATTTCCTTCAGATAATGACAGTCGGCTCTGCACACCAATTAGCACAAAACTGAGACTGCTTCTCCACCATTTTCCTTGATTAATAATCTCAAGCTCTTGCCCTTCTCAGCCAGCTGCTCAATTAAAATTGCAGTAGCTTGCAATCAGCTCCTTGCTGGCATGATAGTATAATGTTCGTATAAGTTAAAACTTTATTAAAGCTAGAAACTTCTAAGAAAGATGGTTTTTAAAGAATGCAAAGATGAGCCTTATACACAGATCTGATAAGAGACATCTAAGAAATTTAAAAACTCAGTGGTAAGCAAGGCAGGGGACTAATCCAAAAGAGAACAAATACTGGGGGGTGGAGATATGGCTCAGTCATGACAGCACTGCCTGCTCCAACAGGACCTGGGTTCAGTCCCCAGTAAATACATGGCAGCCACAACCATTTGTAACTCTAGTTCCAGGAGATCTGGTGCCCTCTCCTGGCCTCCACGAGTGCTGCATGCGTGTGGTGCACATACATACATGCAGGCAAACACTCAAACATATGAAGTAAAAATAAATCTTTTATTAAAAAAGTGAATAAATAACAGTACACATTTGAGGAAAAATGAGCTAATAAATGCAAAAAGATACTCAACACCATTAGAATGTGATTTCAATGTAATTTTCCTTTTAAAGAAAGATGAACATCTGGAGTCTATGCCAGCTGTGACAGGAGTCCTTACACATAAAAGTGACTGTTATGAGTTTGTCTTTGTTCTTGTGATAATAAATTTCCCCTTCTCCCCTTTAGAATGTTCCCAAAGTGTCACAAAGGAAGGAATTAGAACTTCAGTGTATCCTGCTCTCTCTCTCTCTCTCCCCTCTCTCTCCCTCTCTTTCTCTCTCTCCTCTTGCTC